GATAGCAGGTGTGGGAATTTTTTTCCAAACAAATTTACATGCATATCTCATCATTATATTATAATTGATGAATGGTTCAAGTATACCCAATGCTTGAAATAAACCTTTTGACATTAATCTTGCTGTATTGGTTATGGATAGATTCGGGTTATCATCATCATTAGTTGGTTGTTGACGCAATGTTGTTAATGTTGGTAGTAATTCTTGTTGAAAAATTTGCTGACAAATTTCAATAATTTCCTGATCCGTACCTGAACAAAGATTAAATTGATCATCAATACCAATACAATAACCAATTGTACGCCAAAAATGAAATATACAATGTATTTCTTCTGGTGTTAAAATATTAAAACCTAATTGTTCGGGATAAATAACAAACAAACCGACAAATGGAAATTGTCCATGATACATTCGATATTGATTCATCCATATTAATCTGGATGTTTGATTTTTATTCAATTTCTGCGATACTTTACTATGCATTTGTCGTATTGTAGACAATGTTCTATATGCTTTACTTTGTTTATCGAATGGATTCAATTCAAACCATATCGAAATATAATCAATTGTCTTTAGATAACGTTGAAACAGGTGTGCTACAGATTTTGATTTACCTGTACTGATCAATGGAATCAAATCGTCTGGATAGAAAAATGATAATGATAAACCATAAATGTAACTCAGTATGAATCTAGGGGAAGGGGGAAAAACGTAAGAATTACAAAAACAAAACGAAAAAAACAGAATCACTGAACTTACGTGCTTTTAAATGTACGAAAAAGTTTTTGTGCTTGTTGAAAATTACCCGGCTCAAACCAATCTGGTGGTGTAGACCAATATAATTCATCTTTGTCTTGATAAATATCACATTCATAATGATTTGCATTTGCAAAAATAAAACTACGTCGACGTTTAATACGTTCCTGTATGGGCAACATTGTCGAATGACATTCACCAACCAAATGACCAATGGTCAGCGAAAAAAAAATATACAGGTGTTGATTAAATAGCCTTGTAGGATTTTCTTACTTTTCAAACGCCAATCAATATTTCCGTTTGAATTGTGTTTTTTCTTGGTAGTTTTACTTGCGCAATGTTTGGTGATGATGAAATCATTTAACCAAGAAAAAACAACACAAATATTTTATGTTCGACTGAAATAACATTACGTAAAACAAAACAAAAGAAAAGAGTTAAAGAAAACGAATTCTACTAATTAATTGGTTACCTGGGTAATTAATGAATTGTCAATATTTTTTTATTTTTTCAACGAAAAACTTGAACTTTTAAATTTTTCAAGTTTATCAAGACAACATTTGGTGTCGAAACATTTGTTGTCAACTGCAACTTTGAAAATTCAAGCAAAAAAAAATGTCTGGTTTTTTATGGTTAACCAATCAAAAATGGATGAATGTTTT